GGGAGGGAGGGAGGTTTTACCGAAGGAAGTGATTCCCATTTCAAGAAGGTCGCTCTCTTTCATGGTAACGAAGTCGTCGAAGACAATGTTCTCCTGTGGAAAAATGAGAGGCAAAGAGCAGGAGAGCATAGCTAGAGGGTCGGCAGGAGGAGGAGGAAGGGGAGGAGTTGCAGGAGTAGGAGGAGTAGGGAGAGGAGGGAGGAGGGAGGAGAAGCAGGAGCAGGACGAGGGTGATTGTAACCTGATCGAACTTCTTTATGTCTTCCTCTTTCAGGCCAAGACGGTAGAGGAAAGGTCGTACGGGATGCACCCTACAGTGATTGTCAGGACTATGAACCTATCTGCACTGACTCTGCTCTGCCCTGCCTTGCCCTCCCCTCCCCTCCTCCCTTCGCCTGCTCTGCTCTGCTCTGCTCTGCCTTCCTTGATGTTTCATCTTTCCTTCCCTCTTCCTCCATTTTTCCCGCACCTGTCATAGATTTGTCGAGGGAAGTAAATCTTCTTCTTCTCCTGGTAGTTGAGAGTGAGGCAAGCACGGGAAAGAGGAAGGCAGCGAAACGACGAGAGGATGGCGTAAAGGAAAGGAAAGACGAGAGAATCCGAGAGACGGAGGGAGGGTGGGGGACAGAAAGGAGGGCAGGGAGCCAGCGACAGAGGGGCAGGAAAGGAAGCAGGAGGGGTCAAGGTTGGCCTCAAGACAAGAGGACGGAAGAGGGTTCGCTCTTCCTTCCATCATCTCCTCACCTCATCTTCGTTGTCATCTGCCGCATCATCATCCTGGTCTGCCACTGCCAAATGCTCGGCAGTCTCAACTTTCTGTGTCAGCTCGAGGTTGATCGGCTTGTCCTCCTCCTGCACCAGCAGCGTCATCTCAACAGCAGATTTTCTCCTGCTCCTGCTCCTGCTCCTGCTCCTGCTCCTGCTCCTGCTCCTGCTCCTGCTCCTGCTCCTGCTCCTGCTCCTGCTCCTGCTCCTGCTCCTGCTCCTGCTCTTTCTGCTCTTATCAACACTCTGCAGCTTTCTTCTGCTAGCTCCTCCCCCACCCTCATACCTCGTCCTGCTCGTTGTCCTTGCTCTCCAGGTCTCCCTCCTGGAGCAGCTTAAGGTCTCGGAGGAGCTTCTTGACCATGTTCTTCATCTCCGCCTCTCGCTTCTCCTCCATCATCAGGTTGTCCCTATCGGTCACCGAGATCTCCACAATCGCCACCACGTGCTCCAGCCCGCACGCTATCTCCTTGATACTCCACTTGGTCAGGAAGGGGATCTCCTCTGGAGCCTTCAAGTTCGCTCCGGTCTTCCTCTTCTTGGAGTTGTTGAAAGGCATCCCCAGCTGGCCTCTCGAGTTGCACCCCCACGCGAACTTCTTCAGCGGCAGCTCTTTGGCGAGCACCTCCACCTTCTTCTCCTCCTCCGCGTCCAGCCCCATGGACAGCATGTAGTTGGGCCCCAGGAACACCGTTCGGGCCCGGAACGTGTCCCTCACGTCCGGCTTCGCCTCGTCGTCGCTGTAGGGCTTCTTCATGATGCTCGGCGCCCGGATGTCAATGTCGTCGCCATGACCCAGCTGACCCTCTCTCGAGCAGCCCCAGGTGTAGAGCTGCTTGGCCTCGTCGATGGCAGCCGAGCTGAATCCTCCAGCTGCCACCGCTCTGATCCCGCGCGCCAGCAGCGTCTGCACTACCTTGGGGACGCATCGAGAGTAGAGCTCGTCGTGCCCCAGCTGGCCTTCCTCTCCTCTTCCCCACGTGTAGACCTTCTCCAGAGGAGGCACCCCAGGGCCGGCGTACTCGGACACGAAGGCGATGTTGTGGTCGTACCCGCACGAGATCTGCTGGACTTGAGACTTCTTGAACATGGTCAGGTGCTCCGGCACCGGCGAGCTCCTGTAGTGCCCGAGCCCGAGCTGGCCGCAGTCGTTCCTACCCCAGGAGTAGAGCTGCTCTGACTTGAGCAGTGCCATGCTGTGGCTGTACCCGCACGTGATGTGGCACACTCCGCTCCTCCTCAGCCTCGACACGATGTCGGGGGCCGCCGAGTACTTCACCTTGGACTCCAAACCCAGCTGACCGAAGACGTTGCTGCCGAAGGCGTAGACCTTGTTGGCCTCGGTCAGCACGAGCGAGTGCTGCCCTCCAGCTGCCGCCTTGATGCAGATCTTCTTCTCTAGAGCCTCCACCCTCCTTGGCAGCTTGTGCGTCTTGCAGTCTCCATGCCCCAGCTGCCCGTACTGGTTCCTGCCCCACGTCCACAGCGTCCCATCCTGCCCCACCGCCAGCGTGTGGAACTCACCGCATGCGATGGTGGTGATGGAGGGCATCGAGTAGATCTGGAGCTCGGGTATGATGAGCGTGGGAGGGCAGCCGACCATGTTCTTGGGGACGGGCAGAGGCTTCTTGAAGCCTTTCTCGTTCTCCTTCTGCAGCTGCGTGAAGACGTCGGCGGTGCAGCCGAGCTGGCAGTACTGGTTGTTCCCCCACGCCACCAGGAAGCCTTTCTTGCTCGAGCTCTTGGGCTCGATCGCTGAGATCTCGCGGTAATCGGCTGACTGCGCCGAGGAGGCGGTCTGAGCGGTGAGGCCGCTCTTCACCGACGCAACGTCGTCATGCTCGGAGGCGGAGAAGTTGGTGCCGTAGTCGGAGGCCTTGTCGCTCTGACTGGCGTCGTCGTTGATCTGAATGTTGTGAAAGTCTTCCTCCCTGAAGTGAAGCTCCTTGTCATCCAGCTCGTCGGGGAACGGCTCTCCTCCGTGGTCTTGCTTTACGTAGGGGACGATCTGAACGAAGGGATGAGGAAGCGATGAGTGAGGAGAAGGAGGAGGAGGAGGAGGAAGAGGAGGAGGAGGAGAATGGGAACAGGAGGGGAGGGGAGAAGCAGGTGAAGGGAGGAAGCGAGAAGATGGGAGGAAGAGACGAGCAGGGGAGGGATAGCTCTACTTCACCTGTCTCCTCCTCACTTCCTTGATCTGGGCCTCGTTGTCACCAGTCAGATCCCCGTCAGCCTGGTTCTCGAGGATTTCTGCTCGCTCCAGGTCGAGGCGCTGCTGGATAAGATGCTGGCGGTCCTCCTCGAGCCCGATGATCATGCCGTGGTTGATACCCAGGGCGATGTCCTTGATCACTTGGATCCCTAAAGGAACATCAATCGTGTCCGGTACGGTCCCTCTCGTCGACTTGCGGATCTGCGCCACGTCATCAGTGGAGAATTCATTGGCGGTTGTGTTAGTGGGGCCGCTTACGATACAGGAGGAGCAGGAGGAGGCGGAGGAGCAGGAGGAGGCGGAGGAGCAGGAGGAGGCGGAGGAGCAGGAGGAGGCGGAAAAGGAGGAGGAGAAAGGAGGCTCCGTTGATCTCACCGCGACGTGTCTAGAGATGTTGGAGGCAGCGATATCTTGCGTGCCGTCCCACTGCCCGAGCAGGTAAGCTTGGTCGTCTCCTCCCAACACAGCCGTCGAGTCCTTCCCGCACGTCAGCATCCGGATGCGGCTCACTGCCGTCAGCCCGGGGATGCGCTGGGGACGAGGGAAAATCCCGAGGGTGCCGAGACCGAGCTGGTCCTGAACGCCGTTGCCAAAGCCGTAGACCTGCGGAGAAGGTGAGAGGAGAGGAGAGGAGAGGAGAAGAGCGGAGTGGAGTAGAGAGGAGAGGAGGGGAGGGGAGGGGAGGAGAGGAAAGGCGAGGAGAGGAGAGGAGAGGAGAGGAGAAAGGAGAAACGGTGTAACCTCATTTAGGGATGAATGGAGAGTGGAGGAGAGACAAGAGAGGGGAGCAGAGTTGCAGATGATGAAGGAGGGACGGGGAGGAAGAAGAGAGAAGGATGGAAGTAGAGGATGGAGGATGGAGCAGAAGGGATGGAGCAGAAGGGAAGCTTCTGCTGTCATCAGCAGGAGGAGCGTACCTCGTTTGCAAGGGTGACGCAGACCGTATGCTCATCCCCGCAGGCAACAAGGATCACCTCCTGCTCGTCCAGGTCTGTCACGCTCACGGGCGAGCTCGTGGACTTGAGACTTCCAATACCCAGCTGAGCAGCAAAGGTGACGTCATTCCTCCTCGTCCTCGTCCTCGTCCTCCTCGTCCATATCTCTTCTATTCTCTCTCTTCTCCAAAACCCACTATCATCGCCACATCCTCTTCTTCTCTCCACGTACATCCTCATCCTCGTCCTCCTTCTCTTCCTCCGCCTCTTGTCACCTGTCCGGCCGAGTTGTCGCCCCACACCCACAAGTTTCCGTTCTGAGTCAGAGCTACTGTATGAGCTTGCCCACAGGCAACCTGTGCGAGGAGGAGGACGATCAGCATCAAAATCAAGAGGATGATAACGATGGTGGTGATGGTGGTGGTGGTGGTGGTGGTGATGGCAATGATGATGATGGTGATGATGATGGTGATGATGAGTAGTATGAGGAGGAGGAGCAGGACAAAGAGCATCAGCAGGAAGGAAAGAGTGCTGAGCAGGAGGAAAGACGAACATCAGCCATTGAGCAGGAGGGAACAGCCGGTTGCCAACAGGTCGCACCACAGCAGAAGATCTGTTCTGCATCTTGGGGACGATGCGCGGCTCCAGTTCAATCTCAGTGATGATGTCATGGCCCAGCTGGGAAGCGGTTGGTCAGTTTGACACCCCAGCTGGAATACGCCCACCTGCCCGTCCCATCCTCGGCCCCAGGTGTAGATGTCACCGTCCTCGACCACCACGGCACTGTGACTCTTGCCAGCAGCGATGGATCGAACCTGATCAGTGTCGTCACCATCTTCTTTGTCATTGTCATCTTCGTCATCGGAACAATCCTCCTCCTCGTCATCATCATCATCATCACCTTCACCATCACCATATCGTCATGACATGGCAAATGCAATAGGAACAGCAAAGCAACATACACGATCGTCTCAAGATCGTTTGCCATCAGTAACAACCGACTGCATCGTTCAACGTCTCTCTCAACGTCCATCTAAGAATAAACTAGCCTCACATTCTTCGGCAGGAAGGGATCAGAAAGCGGTAGGATACTGCCAGCAGCGTCAGAACCTCCTCCTGCCGCCTCTCCCCAGGTCATCACCAGCTGGGAATGTTTTGGTTGTTCGTGTGGCCCAGACCAAGTTGACCATACTTGTTCTTTCCCCATGTGTAGACCTGAACATGTTTCAGACTCACAGTCTCATCCCTCCCTGCCTCCCCGACGTCCTCTACGACTCCCTACGATATCGTTCTCCATCTCCCCTGCCTCTGCTATCTTGCCTCCGTAACCTCTCCATCCTGCCTACCCTCCTCTCTCGCTCTCTTCGCTCGTTCCTGCCAAGTCCTCCCTGTCGTTTCCTCATCAACCTCACTCCTACCTTTCGCTTCGTCGTGATCGCAACGTTGTGCCACTTGCCAACGACCACGTCACTGCAACAAACAAAGAAAAACGTCAAGAGGATTGGAAAATGAAGCAGGGTCCAAGATGTCAAAGATAGGAACGAAGGACAAGAGGAGAGGAGCAGTTATAAGGCAAGGGAGAAAGAGAGCCAAGGAATGCACAGGAGAGGACAACGAATGAAAGACAGAACAGAGTGCAGGAGCAGGAGCAGGAGCAGGAGCAGGAGCAGGAGCAGGAGCAGCAAGAGGAGACCGGAAGATCTTGTTGGAGGCTCGTTTCAATCGGATTTCATCTTAAACAATGTCAGATCTCCAGGCTCGCTGCCTCTCCTCTCACCAGGATCTCGGCAGTACTCCACAGGCGTTGGCTCCGTCCTCGCCTGCCAACCTAGTCAGCCCCTACCTCGCCTGCCCGACTCCAAGTTGACACCGTCGTATCTCCCAGTCCCAGCTGCCCCTCCTTGTTCGAGCCCCAGCAGAAGAGCTTCCCATCGTCGGTGATGCAGACCTGACGCGCCAGCTCAATGCCCCGCAAACACCCTTGCCCGATCCCACCGAGTGCTCAGCTCCACAGGCGATCTTGGTCACCGAGTAGTGGTAGAGCCTTCCGTAGATGGCGAAAGGGATCTTGAGGTCCACCTGCAGCACAGCAGAAGCTCAGCAGGTGCAGTCAACGTAAAACGATGACGTCACGTTCGAGTTCTTGCCCGAGCCATGGCCCAGCTTGCCGTTCTGCGCCTTACCCCAGGTGCAGGCTCGCCTGTTACCCAGCACATCCCCAGCAGGTGTCAGAGAGCCGAGGTCGAGAGCTGGAGTACGCACCCGATGAAGCCTTCCAGCACTCCGTTGTCGATGTCCTCCATGAAGATGCCAGCTCGGAACTTGTGCTCGAGAGGAGGAGCGATAGGGATGCGAACTGAGTCCTAGGTTAATAAAACGAAAGAGAGAGAGTGAGAGAGAGAGGAAGGGAGGAAAAGATCGAAGAAATATCATAGAAGGGAAGTGAAGAAATGTGAAGAAGAGGAAAGGGTAAGAAGCTGGAGGAGGAGGAGGAGGAGGAGGAGGAGGAGGAGGAGGAGGAGGTAAGGTCACCAAGGGAGGAAATTTCATGCTCTCCGCAAGCTACGGCATAGATCGCCTCCAATCCCTTGAAGCGACGGGGCATATTGTACACGTGCTTTGCTCCTCTGCCGGCCGTGGACTTCATGTTGCCCCAGAAGTAGAGCTGCAAGACTGTGAGAAGAAGAGGACTGGCGAGGTGAGCGTGGGAGGTGAAGCAGAGAAGGAGAGGACGGGAAGGAACAATTCTGCGATCAACCTGCCCGAGATCAGAAAGTGCGACAGAGAACTGATGCGGAAAGTCAAAACAACCCCTTCCACCGTAATCCGCGTCACCTGCGGACCAGCAGCCACGTCCCTAAGGCGACACTCTTCGGTCAACTTGATGACGTTCTGCCAGGGAGTCAAATGAGTTTGACAAGGGGGCGGTCGAGTGCCTTGGGGAGCAGCTGGGACTTGGAGTTGCCATGGCCAAGGGCGCCATTAGCACCTGAGAGGGAGCGGATGAGAACGAGAGGAAGGAGCTGAAGCAGGAGCAGGTTGAGGTAGGTAGGGGAGTAGAGGGATGGGAAGACGCGAGGAATGGAGTAGGAGCAGGAATGAAAGAAGCTCTTGATGTTCTTTTACCGTTTCCAAAGGTGAAGACATCGCGCCCTATTTTCAAGACATCAACGAGAACGCAAACATGATTCTAACGAAGGCAAGGAGAACGAATACGACGAGTGAGGATGGCTGCAAGAGGAGCAAGGGGCAGGGAAGGGAAGGAGGGAGCAAGGGAGGGAGAGCAGGCGGGAACGGAGAAGGTGAGAGTGGAGGAGAGGATGGAGGAGAGGCAAGAAGTACCAGAAAGGACGACGGAGTGCGTTGCTCCACACGCGATCTTGCGGATGGTCTTACCGTTGAGGGCCCTTCAAACGCGCAATGAGCAACAGCAGGGGAATAGCAGCAGCCGCATCACGTCAGCTCTTCGGGCGTTCGACGGTCGTTGGTGTCGCCTGCGACATTGACAGCCTCTCAGTCGCTCCTCTTGACTTGAGTTTCCCTTACCCACTCCCAGCTGCCCAAAGTCGTTGAGGCCCCAGACGAACAGGCGGCCAGTTGACGTCAGGGCGATGGTATGAGCAGCTCCGCAAGAGATCTGACGGCAAAATTCAGCGAGGTGAGATAAGGGAGAAGAAGGGAGGGAAGGGAGGAGGGAGAATATGACAAGAGGAGGCGGCAAGGGGCGAAAGGAGGCAGAGGAAGGCCAAGGAAGGGAGCCTTTGGCACAGGAAGCAGCGGCCGCTACAGACCTGTCTGAAGTCCATGTCCGTCATGGAGTCCATCAGCTTGGGGGCGGGGATGTCCCAGTTCGAGTCATGCCCTGCCATGGCGCATCAGCGACTTGCGACCCCCTCGTTCTGCTGGGGTTGCCGTGGGCAAAGTGCTCGTGAGTCCCGCAGGTCAGCAGGTCCCCCTTGTCATCTGCATGCTCGTCAGGCCGTCGCTGGTCCATGAGGCAGACTCGCCGATCATGACGGTGTGGAAGTAGCCGCAGGCAACCGCTCGGATGCGGTCGATCCCGTTGATTTTCTGCCACGTCACCATTCAGAGGTGTAAGGAAGGAGTAGAGAAGGGAGTTGCAGGAAGGAGAGGAGGAAGAGAGTAAGGGAAGGAGCTGAAAGGGGGGGAGGGAGGGGAGAGCGAGGGTAGGGAGGAGGGAGGGAGGAGGGAGGGAGGAGGGAGGGAGGAGGGAGGGAGGAGAGGGAGGTGAGGGAGGTGATTTTCTCACCATTGGAGGCACAAAGCCGAAGGGATACTTCTCTTTTGGGATCTGCTCAACCATGTGAGGAGAAGGAAAAGAGTCCGAGCACGGTCCAGCTGATCCCCACCTCTCCCACGCCGAGTTGACCTTGACCGTAACATCCCCACGAGTAGACTCTCCCCTCCTCCGTCAGTGCGACGGTATGCAGCTTCCCGCACGCAGCTCCGACGATGATGCGGCTCTAGACATGCGGGTGGTCAGACGCCTCCTCCTGCCTCCCCTCTTCCCCACCTGCAGGGCTGCGACTTGACGAGGGTCCATCTCGATACCCAAGAAACCTTCCTCCGCCTGATGGAGGGAGACACGTCAGAAGGCCTCCTATGGAGCATGCGCGTCAGTCACCCCAGGGTAGCCCAGCTGCTGCATGTTGTTTGCGCCCCAGGTGAAAGTTTGACCAGCTTGACGTGAAATGTCAGGAACAGGAACAGCCCATGGGCTAGCGCACCAGCAGTGATGGCCACAGAATGGTTGGGGCCGCTGTGGGAGAAAGATCAAGCCTGAGATGCAGAAAGAAAGACACAGAGAGATGAAGGAGGAGAGCGGTGGAAGAGCAGGAGCAAGAGCAAGAGGACGAAGAGGGTTGAGGAGCAGAAGGAGGAAGACGAAAGCTGAACCTGAACACGTTCACAAAATCGTAGCCTCTCACGATTTCCTTGAGCGCAACAATCTGGATGGATCGGATGCCGTAGAGGTAGCCCTGCAAGAGCAGCTGAGAGACAGTCCGCAACGGCTGCTCTCAACGGACCTCTCCCTCCACAATGATCGGATCCAAAGGCACAAGGTGCTTGTCCTCATACTGCGGGTCGCCTTCGGCGTAAATGTTGCTGAGAGGATTCATAGCGCTGCTGTGCCCGATGATTTTATCCTCGAACATCTGCAGATGTGGGGAGTGAGAAACCCGCAGCCATGCAGCTAATTCCTAGAGCAAACCCTCACAAACGTTCTCCTCCGCACTCACAGGAGTTGCTCCTTGAAGCATGGCTTGGCGGTCACCAAGAAATCCATGCTTGGAAGCCTTGACCTTGGGTTTCTCCGTCTTCACATCATGTCAGGCTCCTGCATCTCATCGGAACATCTCCACACCGAAGGGTCTTGAGACGAGGTGACGGCCCCCTGCACACAGACGTCAGAAGCTCTATCCAGGCAAAGAAAGGGATCGCACAGGGTCTGCCTTCTTCACTACTGCCGGCGGTTGCCTGAGTTGAGCAGCTTGCGCAGATGAAGCATCCTGGGTTGGCAAGCCTTGAGCGACTGAAGATAGAGGAGCCTTCACTTCCTCCATACCTGGAAGGTGACCAGCGACTTCTCGAGGTACTCGAACTGGCATGGAGCAGGTCAGTCAGCCCCTCCTCCTGCGCGTCCTCCGCTAATGGCCAGTCACACCTGCTTCAAGTTCTCCGCATTTTGCAGGATGAGGTCACGAAACTTGGTGTCCACGTCGAGCTGGCGGGACACGTCAAGTCACGAAAACAACCTTCACCTTCTCCCTCACATCGATAGCGTCCATGGCGTTCCTTTTGACGGTGCCATAGTCCACCAGAGGAGACGCGATGGGCGGATTCTGCAGGCAAACGCTCAGAAATGAGGAAGAAGGATACACTCCTCCCATACCTTGCTCCTCGGACGCGGTTGTCGACCATGAATCTTGGACTGGTCAACTCGTTTCCCCTCCCCTGCACAACGCATCAGATGCCATGGGCGAAGAGGGGCAAGGCTGCATGACCGAGCAAGTAGGACTTGTCATTGTTGTTCAGATCTCTTGGCTGGAGCGTCGTCATCAGCACATGTGCAACCCACTCGTTGAGAGGTACGCACCCTTCCGTCTTCCCATCCGACGTCTATCGACGAGCCGATCGGCTGCAAGGAGCCCGTCAGGGAGAGCAAAACCTCCTCGGGAGCGATCACCTTGATTCCGTTCTGAGCCATCTTGAAGCACCTTCAGTACAGGAAAAGTGCCAGCTGCTTGGTCTGGTTCAAATCATCTCCGAACGGAGTATAACACTGCCAGGAAGCACCCAATAGGAAGGAAGTCTGCGCATCAGTCAGGAACGGATAGAATTCGCACATCAGCAATCAAATGTTGTTCGGATGATATTCAGGCATTCTTAATGTCAGCCAACAAGATCTTGACTCGAATCAAACCTCGAACGATGTTGCACAGCCGATACACCTAGACACGTTCGGTCCCTGGAACTTTCTATCCTCTTTTCATCATACACCATCAACTGTTGACCATGAACTCTCCTGCGTGCTGTCTCACCTTCCCTATCTCTCTTTCCTCCTTCTCTCAACCGTTGAACCGCTCTCATCCTCTTCCTCCTTCTTGTCTCTTCTCCTTCGCACCACTGCCATTACAGAGGAAGGCAAAGTACTTTTACTGCTAGGGGTGGGGGTAGTACCCCTGCCCCTCTCTGTTCCACCCCAATGCCTTGAGGACCCATCGAAAAAAAGGCAACATGGGTAGGGTATGTTGTATCACCCCCGTTCCAACAGCAAAATATCGGATGTTTTCCAGGCCATCATTGAAAGTACCGGTGATTGTTTGAGTTGCACCGGGTAGTGAACCAATAGGAGGGGTGGGGGGTCAATCATACACGGCGAGGGGTGAGTGGGGGTGGGGGTCACAGCCATAGGGGCGAACAGACAACTTTGACAAGAGATTGACTATATACAGTCCATTATTGACTATATCTATGAGATGTTGACAACAGAGCTTCTTAAAGAGCTTATTCGATTGACTATGGAGACGATGAACCTATATAGTCAAGAAAAGAAGTTCTATGTTGCTGAGATTTGTGGGTGGGGGTGGTAAAGTACCCCCATCCAAGTAGCCTTTTGATTCTTATTTTATTGGGTACGATAAGAATGGGGTTTGGTTGTAGGGGGTGGGGTACACTGAACGAAGGATCCCATGGCTGACACCAAGGTGAAGTGAGCAAGTCCAGGAATGGGGGAGGGGGGGGGAGAGGAGAGAAGTGAGAGGAGAGAGGAGAGGAGAGACAAAAGAAGGATGGAATAAAGGACAAACACAGGAAGCAAAGACGGGCACAGGGAAGGAGGGAGAACCGAAGGAAGGGAAGGGAGCGGGGAGGATTACCGATGGCATTTTGGGACGATCTTGTTTCATTCAACGAGATGATGTCAAAGCTTGAGTGACTAGCATTTGATCTGATCCAAAACTGGAGATGCAACATGGTCCAGGGGAAGGAGCAGAAAAGTGTGATTGTAGGTGTACCTTGCGAGAGGGCGTCGCACAGTCGAAAGAAATTCCGGAGTCATAACGAGGGTGATGGGGCAGGCCTGGGCCGCACTAGAGAAGCATCATCATGCGATCAAGGAGGTCCATATGAGAACGCTCTTCGAGAAAGAGCCTGCAAGATTCCAGCAGCTCAGGTGATCTTCCTGTTCATCAGAGAAACATCAGATATGATTTATGTGTGTGTTTCTGCCTGCGGCCCAACCATGAGTTGTTGTCATTCGCTGATTCGAGAACTTACAGCTTGCAAGTTGGCGATATTCTGCTGGACTACAGCAAGAACCGCGTCACAGCAGAGACGATGCAGCTGCTGACGAACCTCGCAAGTGAAGCTGGTGAGCTGGCTCGAGGTCGTTATCCTTCAAGCCTCAAGCAGTGGCAGGTGTTTGCGAGAAGAGAGATCAGATGTTTGCTGGGGCCACAGTCAACACGACAGAAG